CTACTCAGAGACCTGAGAATGTTTGTCAAAAGCCAATTTGATGCAGGTACGTAGCTCGAATTTGTTGTTTATTGTAAAGATTGCAGGGCCGTTTCAACACAGCGTTACAAAACCTTGCGTAATAAATGAACACGGTACTTAACACGAATCACATTGGTAGACCGACTGGATATGAATTAGTGTCAGTTGCGTGCGCATTTCCATTGTACGATACATTGAGGGCACGTACACACCGGAATCTTTCTGATACCACCTCGTAAAACTCAATTATACATTTGCCCCAAATATTTCAAATGCATGTACGCAGTAAAGAAAAAAAAATGGTACAATAAGCGAAGACATTTGGTCTAAAGTCTTTATTATTATCATTATTATACACGTCGTCTGTTATTAACAAAACTGTTTTAGTTATTTGGAAACTTTTCTAAAGATTTATTGACTGTTCCAGTTCAATCTTGATTAGCTACTAACTTGTAGCACTTGTTCTGGCAAAATGTTGGTCTTATTGATTTCCGATAAATATGAAACATTCAAACTCAAATGGATAGGTTCACATCTTTCAAAATTTTTAATTGTTATCAATAAAACATAAAAAACTACAAAATCACTGATATAAGAATCAGTCACAATGTTATTTTTATACTTTCATTGTACAATGTTGAATTTTGGAGTAGTGAGATGCTTATGTCTATAAATGGGTTAACAGAACTTGCTTACACAACATAAAAAAGTGATCGTCGCCAACTAAAATTAAGTTCCCTTTTTATTTTTATTCATATCATACTGGTAAAATATATTAATTTCCTATCACTTACTCTATGTGAATTAAGTTATTTGAGAAATGAAACCAATATCAGCTGTTGAACGTTTTATGCATACGTGCGCACACACACACACACACACTTTCATCGAATGAATGCAACTCTATCGACGCCGTAATGGGGATATAGCTTCACATATTGAATCAGAAATATAGTTTTCTATTTCTTTTTGGTTGAATCTCTTTCTCACCGCTAACACGACTCGGAGTTTCATACACGACGCAATCTTCAGCACCCGTTATATTACATCGAGCACTGTATGTTTATATATATATATATATATATATATATATTTACTGACAGAACTGCAGTTCTTTCTCATTTTCTGTTATCGTCCAATTAGCACCATAGAAACAAGGATATCGAATTTTAAAAATGAAATTATCTTGACTATATATGTAGTTTCTGATATTAAAATTAGTGTTAACTTTTAAGCAAGAAATAATTATTTAAAAAAATGCTTTTATTGCTTTGAGTCACTGTTAAAAATCATAACATTCCTTAACCAATTTTTGTTATGAATTTATTTGCATAAAAAAAGTTGTTCTTATTATTAATAATAATAAAAAAAAGCATATAAAAAGAGGCATTTGGGCATCTCGAGACAGTGTAATGGTTAGCAAGCTTGTCTGGCTAGATCAATTACGACTGAGTAGTGAGTTCGATTCTTACTGGGTGCACCATACTTTCGGCCTTGTGCCACATCTAAGCTATGCTTGGAAAATCACTATATAAAAAGAGACACTTTTAAAAACTAAAAGTGAAGCCACACATCGATTATAGAAAGTGTGCTGGATCAATATATTCAGTGAAAATGCTATTTATTCCTTTTTCTTCACCTAGGTTTAAGTTGTCTCAATAACTTGTCAATCTCTAGGTGATTTAACAAATGGCATTGGTAATCAAATACTCTGTGATTTTTTCTAAGAAAAATTAAAAAGGGAATTTGAGCTGGTTGATAAAGTTTTATTTTTCTCATTCATACTTAATCTGAAAAGCAAGATTCGTCACTTCAGTAAAATGGAAACGCTTTCTCACAAATTAAACCATGGATGTGGTTTTACAAAACAGAAGCCATCCAAAAACTGTAACGTAGTACCGTACATGTATGTATTGTTAAACTAGTAAACAAATGATCGCGCGTGCGTTCAGGCGCGCATACAACCAACTATTATTCCATTTAACCAGAAAACTATAACTTTTTTTTTTTTAATTTTTGTACAAGATTCTTTTGTGTAAAAGAAGTAATTTGCCTATTACATTAAGAAATTATTTCTGAAGTATAACTGATTTATAATTTTCCGTATAAGAAACAAAGTGTTTCTTCCACTCATTCTGATCGAGATGATAAAAATGTCAGTATTGCAGCACTTACGTCGCTGATGAATTTTTATGAAGGCGTGTCCGGATTGAAAAGGTCAGTTTCCAGCCAATGACCGAAGATAAAAAAAAAAAAAAAAAAAATATATAACATTCACTTTTTTATGGCATTTATTTATTCATCGAGATGACACATTTTTTTTTTCTAATTTCCTATAGCATACTTTGTTGTAAAAAGATGCGTTTATATTTTTTGGTCATTTGGCTATTTTGCACATATATTGTGATTTTCTCTAGGTGAGCAAGAACTTAACATTTCAATAAATTGCATTACATATTTTATCAGAACAATTAAAATTTGACAAGTCTCTTGGGCGCTTATTAGTGTAAGTAACTCGTCGCTCCAGCCGGCCTGTTTGCTTCGATGCCATGGAGGTGTGCTCCGATAAAACTACCTCCAAAATTGGTTTAAAATAATGCTACAAAGGGTGCGATATATTACAAAGCAAAATTAAGAATAACTTTTTAGAGAAATGCCGAATGAAGTGAAAAAAGTTAGATTGTTGTTTAATTGGCACACAGTATCTTTCATCTTAAGATAAAAAATGCTTTAAAAAGCTTTATGGGAGTCCGTAAAGCTTTACAACCGGTGTGTCGCGGACATGCTTAATTTTATGATTTTTTTTTTTTTTGTAGTTTCTGTTGACCAGCAGTTATTTTTGTAGTCATTCTGTGGGGAAACGAGTAAAAAAAGAAATCACTTCCTAATTTATAAAAATTAAGTTTATTGTTAAAGAAAAGAGTAAGAAGAAAGACCCATCTGTACAAATGACGGCACTGGCAACTTATTTTTTCTTATCTTGTCCTAGCCGACTGCTGAAAAATAAGACTTTTTTTAAATTTGCAATTTGTTAATATTACCAATGTTAGAAATTAAGGATGGCTTTGCTTAACACATCTTCGCTGACTGTCGTCCTGCATACTTCTTACTTTGAAGACAGAAAAATAAGATACAAAAAAAATTAATTATTTGAAAGTGCGCAGTGTCTGTGAGTCAGAGAGAGAGAGAGAGAGAGAGAAAAGAAAGAAGGTAAGAAAAAGAAAGAAAAATGCCGACTATTAGAAAAGCTGCTAGTGTGCTAGTTGCTCGGAAATACAGCATTTACCGGAATATGAGATAAAAAAACAAGTTGCATTCCTCAACTATTTGTTGAAATATATAAAGTCCAAGTATCTTTGTGACATTCATTTAAAGAAAAACGGTACCAGTAAAAAAGGATGAATAAAGAAAGAAAAAAATAATAGTGAAAAAGAGAATTAAAAAATAAAAAAATATTGGAATGGTGTTGGTTGGTTGACCCAACAACGCAATATCAAGCGCCCACGCATCATAACGAGGTGAATTCTGAGGAAGAAAAAAGTTTAAATACTTACGTCTTCTTTTGTAGCATTGTTTATTGCTCTTAAAAAAAAGTAGTTGAGACATTTTTTTTACTAACAGAAAAATGAAATCATCCTATATACAAGGAAACGAATCACGACGTGAGATAAATAAAAATGGGAAGGAAAGTGATTGTGTAGAGATGCTTTTATTTTCTTTAAAGATTATTCGCAGAATGCAACCACTCCAACAGCTACAATTGTAGCCCAAAGCCAAATGAGTGCACACAGCGAAAGAAAAAGCATCTTATCTTAAAAGTTATCACCCGATCATCACATCTTCATATTTTAAAGTTGCAGGTTTTTAGACTAATTTACGCATTACCAAAAAATATGTCTACACTGGATTGAAGAGAATTTAGTAGTTCACTTAATAAGTGCGTTAAAAAAGTCTTCACTAAAATAAAAACTAAAAAGTAGTAGACCCATTATTATTCATTGATTTGATGCAGTAACTGGTGTAATTTGAAACGTTACTGCTGTTTAGATGAGTCCATTGAGAAGGAACTTTAACTTTACGAATATTTGAATTTTAAAAATGAAAGTAGTAAGTAATAAGTTAGTAATGAATGTATTATTATCCGAAGAAAAATCCGAGACTTCTTGTAGAACATCTCTTCCTTCTATTTTGAATTTTTTTTTTTCCCCTCGAGACTTTACTTTCAAACAAATGATTCGTCATTGAAAATGTTGTTGTAAAGGAGCAAGGGACTTAGATAAAAATCGATATGGAGAAGAAAAAAAAAGGGTAAAAAAAGACAAAAAAAAAAAAAAACGAATGTTGCACTAGGACAGGTTATAGGAAATGAAAGAAGAGAGGCTATGACTACTGAGATAAGCTTTGCCGCGCTGCCGCCTTTCCGAAGAACCAGAAAGAGAGTGAAAGAAAAAGAGGAAGAGAATGAAAACTGCGCATGCGCAGTGCCGGTGAGACGCCCGGTAACAGGCGCTGACGTCGTCGGCGATGTCGTCCGCCGCTGCTATATCTGTCGCTGACGGTAACAATACAGTGCTGAATTCTTCATTCCTATACTTTCTGGAGTTTTTACCCCCATTCAATATGAAGGACGATTCAGCACGACGACTACCTGGAATTGTTGCGACCTTATAAGAAAGGATTTTTTCGCCCTGAGGCGCCTTTTTATACACCTACTGCAGTGTAGTATAGCTACCCCCCCCTCTTATTTTTTTTTTATTTTAAACATAAAAGTGATGTGATGGCCGACTAGTTGCCACCACCAGAGCAGCATTTCTTCCAGCTCCTCTGTGGGTGTATTAAAAAATATTGGGCTGTTATATATGTGAGAGAAGAGAGTGAGCTTTATCTTTTGTTTTTTGCTGCTTAGTTTTCAGTGGCTGAAGTCGCAGTGTTTGTTGATTCGTACGGTGCTGCTGGATACAACTTAAAATTATCATAATATGGAGGCCGGAGACACTGAGAGCTCCGCTGTGGAGGACAGCGATGTTATTGAGATCATTCCTTCGGAAGATTACGATATTGGGAAGGTAAGTTGAAAAAGAAATATCCAAGAAAAATAAAAAGAAGAATATATCGAGTTTATTAAAGTAGGACTGATATCTGAAGTGTATGATAATTGCGTAGATTGCCTGTTTTCTTTTAAATCAACAGTGTGATTGGTGTTGGTCCGTTTCTCTAACTCAACGTGAGAAATGACGTAAGCTCTTTAGAGACAATGGCTGCTGCTTACTTCCAGTGTGTGTGTGTATATATATATATATATATATATATATATATATATATATATATAATAAAATACTTGTTTCAAAATAAAACCATCATGTATGTATCGCTACACAGTATTGTTCTGTTTTCATCCAGGTAATGAAAACCGAGATTATTCTTCAGTTGATTTCATAACGTAGGAATTAACGATTAAAATGTCCAGGAAAAACGGACACTACGTTTTTTTTTTTTTTTTTTCTTTTTGAAAGAAATATATTTATTTACCATTTCCTCCATCCAACTTTATGGTCTTTTTCTTGACCAATTATATATTGTATATATTTAATATAAATTAATCAAGCCGCAATACTAACTGCTTTCACTTTTATGCTAAATAGATTTTCTTTCCATTATGGTCATCTTTCCTGAAACAAAAATTGACAGCTCACCACAAACATTCCATTAGTTGCCATTTTTTTTTAACAATATAACTGTATTTTTATTTCTTTTTCTCTGTTAAAAATGTTATTTGGATAGAACTGTATTAAATTTATAAATCAGTCTTTACTTTAACCTTTTTTATTTTAAACAAAGTCTGATAACTTTTATGCTTATCTTATTGATTTGAAGGATTTCACATGGTAATCGTTTTTAGTTAACTTTACTTAAGCAAGACTACTTTCAAGCAAGAGTATTAATTTATTATTCGGTTATTTATTAATAGCTACATTTTTTTAATTATCTTAATAGTTGTTGACATTTTCCTCCTAGGTCATTTTTTTAATGACATCAGAATAGAAAACCTTCAATTATTATTAGTGACTAAGTCCCTTTTTACACTACAATACTCAATAGTCAATTGTCTTCATTTTTTCTGTGTGTTTGTTTAATCTATTGGAATGTTTTGCTGTAGGTAATAATTGTATTTATTCGTCTATCTGATAATGATAATCCCTTTCAATTTCTATCTGTTATGCGCTGCTACTACTATCAACAGCACGCAAGGTCGGCACTGACAATTCTGATTATCCACAGGCCTCTACTCTGAGTAATATTGATTATTGACTTCCTTCATTGCCAGGCTACATAATGAAATATATATATATATAACAAAAAGCTTCATACACATATCTAAGAAGCTTCCCATTATAAATTATTTCTCTTTTATTAGGATTATTTAATTACTTATCTACCTCGATAGCTTTTGATCCGTAAAGTTTTTACATTTTTTACTCGTTTTAATTTTATTTTATATCCAAAGAAGGATGGATGTGAATGTTTTTTTTGTTTTTTGTTCAGTTTTTTCTTTCGTGATAATCAGTACTTAAAAAAAAATCTCTACAATTGGAACACTTGTGGAAAATAGTAGTCGTCAACAAATAAGTACAAGAAGCAGTATTGCTGCTTCGTATTCGATCTATTAGTAACTTCCCACTTGCTTGAATAATAATATGCTTGATGACCAATACTCTTGTGAAATAGTTGAATATTCATTTTATGAAATATGCAATTGATGGGACGAAATCTTAGCACATAGCCTTTTTTAAACAACGACAATGCATTCATTTATTTTAAATTTAAAATATTTTCTCCCGCATTCATTTTTAAAAATAATGCTCCCTAAAAAAACGAATGAAGAAAAATGTGAAATACTTATTAACTGGGAAATTTATCAAAATTCCTGATGAATGAAATTACACAGAATGTAGTTTCAATTTCTGTGCAGTGGAAGCAAAATAAATTTTAATTAGTAGATCTACCACAAGTGTCTTTGACAATCAACATCTTGCCTGTTCGTGTGATGACTGAGTCAATAAATTCTTGCTAAATTTAAAAAGAAATGAATGTGTCTCTCTCTAGTCGAAGGAGTAAAAAAGCAAATAAAAACAAACTGTTTCATATTTATTTATTTATTCCTGCAAAGAAGGTTTCATGGTAACGGGATACACATAGCAACGTGGTTTTTTTGTTTTATTTATTTTATCTTTTTTATGTTAGCATTGTCACTTTAATGAATAAATGTGAAACAAAATTGAATGAAAAATTCTCTTTACCGCGTAAACTTTACTTAAATGACGTCGAGGATTGGCTGATCGTTTTCCGTTGTGATGATAGGATATCATAAACTAAACACAAATACAACTAATTTTTTAAACCACACACTGCACAGACTTCCTTAAAATTGAATGTGATACATAGTTGTGGGTGGGAGTAATTTTAAAACAGCCAAAAATAAAATTGTCGTCATTTTGTTCGTCACATTTCATTTGTGGGTTCATTCTGACTACAACTGCCCAGTCAGTCTCAAATAGTAAATGTCTGTCTCCAACAACATTTCCTTGGCAACTCACTACTAATTTGTTACTAAATTTTAAAATACGATGACATATTTTGAAGGTCAAATTGGAGTGGTGCAAAAAGTGAACCATCATCTAACCAACCAAACCTATTGACAGATTTTAAAACCAATGACAAAATTTTCCATGTATTTTTTAAAAATAATTTAATTTTTTTTTATTAAATCTTTCTAACATATAAATAATTTTCCCCTTTAAAGGGATCATATTTTTTTAAACTTATTAATAGCGCGTGGTTAACACTTGACTATTTATTAGTCACTTGATTGAATAATCTGTTGTATACTAAAGTCACAGTGATGATCGATCCATCATTATGGAGTCAAATACAAATACCCCCCCCACACACTTTTTCTGTTAACATTTAACAATAAAATCAAACTAGCGATTTTTGTTTATCTGAGGAAACCATTCTAATTTGAAACTCATTTAATTTTTATCTTAAACTAAACAAAATTCTTAATAATTTCTGGTATTATTGAAGCAATTGCGAAAATAATGAATAAATTATTTCTGCTGAGCTAATTTATGAAAATATTAAAATTTGATTGCGTATTCCTCAGTATAGTTAATTTTGACTTTTTTCAATTTTGTTAGGTTTTAAAAAACCGGTTATGAACAATAAAACAAAAACAAATTGGCTCGTGTTTTGTTTTTTGTGTGGTTTGTGTGTGTGCCACAAAGAATTAATTCTTTCATTTAGTGTTTTTAAACCGTTCAATACTGTGACATTTTTAGCCAATCTTATCTCTTCGTTGCTTTCAAATCATTACTCAACCAACATGAAAGAGTGAATCACTGACGTATGACTAGCAACAGTCAACAATTGTGCATTTAACTCACTAACTGTTGAAAACGAGCCTATAGCTCCGAACAAAAATGGCTACTACTTTATCACCAGTTTCAATAATATTTTGTTTTTTGTATGAATAATATGCACACTCTGGTCAGCCATTGTGTTAATTACTGACGTCTTATCTTATATCTGCAATTTTAATAAGTGAAATGTTCAATTTTAGTGGTACTGTATGTGTAATTCAAATAGGGACTTTACTTAAAGATCGGAACGTTGATATCGTAAAACATCACAAGAGAAATCATTTAGTTCTTCTTGTGATGTTGATTCCTCGTTTCCTTTTTAGTTTTTAAGTTTCACTTCATCTTTGGTGCATTTTACTACATAAACTTAAAAAAAACAGGAAGTGTTTTGAATCATCGGAAGATCTTCAATGATTCCTCTAGAAAAGGAAATAGTCCTTTTTAAAATATTTTATTTTTAAGTACACTGTCATTTTGTTACTAGCATAAATGCAGGAAATAATACATATTTTTCTGTAAGTGTTCGTTTTGTCATCTGTTCAACTAAAATTCATTATTCTCTTTTAGATTTTATTTTCGTTATTTTTGAAAATAAATAAATCTTGTAATGTAGTTTCTGCTCTCTCTTCTTTTTTGACTACTACTTATTTTCATTTTTACTGAAGCAATCATTTGACAGCTGTAGTGTAGTAACACTCAGCAATTCTAGTACATTCATTCATCATGTTATCAACGAGCAGATGTTTTAAGAAATTTCAGTCCCTCTATTACTGCTTTCGGGTTGCCTCTTATTTTCCCATGGTTTAAATATTTTTACCACTGCACTCATTAGTAAAAGTAAAACTATTACTTAAATAATTATGTTGTGTTGACAGATCTATCAATATGAACGAATTTCTCTTAAAAAATCTCTGTTAAAAAAAAGACGGATTCCAATCAGTTCTTTATTGATTCAATTTGAAATGCATCGAAGTATTTTTGCTTATTGGGAATATTTTAAACTTAAATTACTCTATTAGTTTGGAAAAACTTAAATTTATTTAAAGCTTCAAGAAAGATTTTTCATTTTTGAAAATGCATTAAAATTTAGCTATAGCTTTACATTTTTAATTATTTTTATTTTAAATTTTAGCTGTCATCTGTTTCATTAGCAAAAACAAAAACACATAAGTTAATCATAGTTTTATTTTTATTTACATTGCATCTTAAACAAAATTTTAACATTTATTTTAAATTAAAAATAAAACGTTTAAATGTCGATAGGTTAAGAAGGAATACAAAAAAATAAAGAATAAGTTATTAGAAAACATAGAGCAGTGGATTTAAATTAGCCACATTAAACTGGAGCTTTTTAAAACGACTGACAAAAGAAAAAGTAGTAAAGTAGTTAGTCTACATTAACTTAGATTTAGAATAATTGAGATGAACTAAATTTTAACTTTTAAAATAATAAAGTTAGTTATTTGATACCAAGTACATGATGAAATAGATGAACTGTGGTTAAATAATAACAAAAAAAGCCCCCCCCCCCGTTTTTGATTTACCAAAGGGTCCATAGCACAGGTCACTGCTGAGATGAGTAGAGGTGAAGCTATATATAGATGAAATGAGTTTTTTTTTTTTTTTTTTTTTTTTTTTTTTTGCTT